TCTGCCAGACCGTCCTTTTGGGATTACATAATGTATTCTTCCTGTAAATAGTTCATCAGAACACACCCATCCTTTACACAACATGGATCACCTCCCACTGCTGGAAATAAATGACCTTATTTTTCCTTATGTGCTCTTCAGACTGAAAATATTATAAAGCAGGGACACATAAGAAATATATCACACCTGTACTCCACCTAGCAACTGTGTCCCAAAATACACGTTTCACACACTCCTCTCTCCTTCCAAAAGAAGATTAATGTTACATTTATATTAATGGAACACAAGATGTGTTCATTCTCACAGCCAGGAAATTTTACTTCACTGTGACTTTAACCAAACCATGGCAGAACGGCCAGAGAGAGAGAGAGAAAGCAGGCCACAACAGGCCAGTTTTCACTGCTTTGAGATTATTTTGAATTGTGTTTTCATATTACCACCTAAAAACAGTGGGCTACCCTGTTAAAACTGTCAACCATTTTATCATTTTCATCCTGCTATGTGAAATATGGTTGTCAGCTTTGAATGATGAGTCAGATGAGTGAGACGAGAAAGCAGTGAGATACATATTAGCAGATGTTAATCAAGTGAGTAGATCTCGCTCTCGATGTGTTCATTGAGTTTTTAGTCAGAGAACTTTCTTTACTTTTCATAGTGTGCACACATTTTGGTTGAAGGCATTTCTTAAAATCCAGACAGATATAGTCTTCCATATACTCTGTTATAACTTTGTGAAGGCTTTTGTATCATTATAACAGGATGAAGTCATGTTATACATACATGGCAAAAGGCTGATGATACTATTCATCATTAACTAATAGATAACTGAAACAAGTATTAGTTGGTGTCATATTTACATGACAAACTGATGCATTTTTAATGAGAGATGAGTATGCATGGATGTACTGTATGTGTTCTCATTCATGAAACTGCAGGAATATGTTTCTTGATGTGGCCTATGACTGTGACTGTGATACTTTATCGCAAGAATTCTGAGTTTCTGACAAAGTAGAGCCTTTATGAGATTTTTTATATTTCAAATGGAATTCTTTTTTTATTTGTACATAGGAAACCCTTGTCTGAATATTAAGAAATGTCACTGAGCAGGTTTTCATCTCTCTTTAACTGAATTCTCTGTTGCTTTTCAAGCACCATTTATGAAGCAGAATCCAAGGACTGTAAGAATGTGGATTATCACCTGTCTTTTGTTCACTTTGGTTCTAGGTAAGAAAGTGTCTCTAAAGAATTCAATTCAAGGATAGAATTAAAAATAATTAAATGATATTAGCAGAATCAAATATGTAATGAAATGTAAAAGCAAGTTTAATGTTTTTTTTATTTTATTTTATTTATTGTTTGATGGTTTGTCATTAATACATTTTCCCCATATTTTGTGCTTGTTCATTTAGCAGCAACAACAACATGTGATAGTTTGGATTTTTTTTTATTTTTATAAATAGCTTTAGAACTCTTCAAACAAACTTTGCAGCTTAACATTTATATATATATATATTTTTTTGTTTGTTTGTTTTTGTTTTTTACTATATTTTGTTTAGCAATAGAGAATGACAGAGACTTTAAGATATGTGGCATATGGCATAGATCCTGAAATCTTATTTGAAAACAGGCTGTAATGAAATTGAGATTTCAGCCAATGAGCGTACACTCTCTGTTAGGGGCAGTATCACAGCCAAGTGCACACAATCTTCATCCATTCCTCTAAAATCAAACCCTCTTCAAAATCAAAGTCATTTCTGTGTGTTCTGGGAGCCGCTGCTGGACCTGCTGATAGTGCAGGTGATTGGAAAGAATCACACTCTGTGTGAATCACATGGCCTTCAAGGAACCTGATGCACTGACCACTCACAAAAGAAACACGAATCTGCTGCTTTGTATGGTATTGTGAAAGGCAGCACCCACGGTGATATCATCAGATATGATGTCATGAAAATATATAACTTTAAAGGAGATTCAATCAGCTGCAGTAAGATATTTAGATTCTGTTGTCTTATAATTTTTAAAAACTATAGATATCAAAAAGTTACACTGACTGAACTCACTTGTAAATTCAGCCTTTCTGAGCATGTTTAGTCTCCCACTTACAGAGGAAAACTTATGTGATGAGGCAAGTAAGAAGCCCAGTGGAGCAAACATAAGACAATCATTACTTTCTTTTAATTTGTTAGTTTCCCTATTACATTAGAGTGTTATGAACTTATGTGGTCTATCATGCAGATAGCAAAAGGTGATGTTGTACATGTTCATAAGAGTGCAGTCATGACAAGCTTAAGGTTGAACCCCAAACAGGAAGCTGAATCCATTATATGCGCATTAGCGCATATATGCGTGAACTTCCAAGGACATTGTTGGATCTTTGATGGAACATCTTCAAAACTTGCACTTGTATTAATCATGCTGTTTTACTCCATTCGAGTGTAAATATGTAAAAATAATAACTTATAATACTTTTAATATATGTATCTGTTGATAATGTCTAAATGCATGTGTTTGTGTGTGTTTGCTTGTGCTCAGAGCACAATCCTTGAGATGGAAGAGGGTTTCACAGGACTCAATTTCACTCTGCCAGTCAATAGCATTCAACTTTTAGAAGCACAAAGTTCAAATAAACTTTGAAGGTCTCTTTCTAGCATATGAAAAAATATATACAGTATGTTGCATTCCAGGCCCCTCGAACTGTACCACCAAACATGATACCTTCCGTTTATCTTCCCTCCTGTCTGAAGTCAAGGAGCACATCCAAAGTGGTGTGTACTTACTATAAGGACAAAACATTATTTCAGGTATATGACAATATTAATATTAAGGAGAGAGAAATCATGTGGATTATTCAGCTTCCATTTGCCCACCAACATATACAGCAATGTACAGTATGACATAAAAGTGTCTGTGTTGTGTAGAGGGGTTCGTCTGATCTTCTGGGCGACATAGTTGGACTCTCTGTGGAGAACGAGATCATCAAAAACCTCCCAGAACCTGTCAGAATCAGCTTTCATCACTCTGCTCTCCCAGTACGTCTTTTTGAGCATGTTCACTATTGTTTTTAAAGGGGTCATATGATGCTTTTTTAAAAATCATTATTTTGTGTATTTGGTGTAACAGAATATGTTGACATGCTTTAATGTTCAAAAAACACATTATTTTTCAAATACAGGTGCATCTCAATAAATTAGAATGTTGTGGAAAAGTTCATTTATTTCAGTAATTCAACTCAAATTGTTAAACTCGTGTATTAAATAAATTCAATGCACACAGACTGAAGTAGTTTAAGTCTTTGGTTCTTTTAATTGTGATGATTTTGGCTCACATTTAACAAAAACCCACCAATTCACTATCTCAACAAATTAGAATATGGTGACATGCCAATCAGCTAATCAACTCAAAACACCTGCAAAGGTTTCCTGAGCCTCCAAAATGGTCTCTCAGTTTGGTTCACTACTGAGACTGCTGATCTGACAGTTGTCCAGAAGACAATCACTGACACCCTTCACAAGGAGGGTAAGCCACAAACATTAATTGCCAAAGAAGCTGGCTGTTCACAGAGTGCCGTATCCAAGCATGTTAACAGAAAGTTGAATGGAAGGAAAAAGTGTGGAAGAAAAAGATGCACAACCAACCCGAGAGAACCGCAGCCTTATGAGGATTGTCAAGCAAAATCGATTCAAGAATTTGAGTGAACTTCACAAGGAATGGACTGAGGCTGGGGTCAAGGCATCAAGAGCCACCACACACAGACGTGTCAAGGAATTTGGCTACAGTTGTCATATTCCTCTTGTTAAGCCACTCCTGAACCAAAGACAACGTCAGAGAGAAAGGAAAACTTGAAATCGCATCATATGACCCCTTTAATACCTTTATAAGTTACCATATTTGTTATGATGTTAAAAGGCTATTAATAAGCTTAGCAACACCTATAGCTCACATTATTTTCTACCGAGAAGACTAAATGTCTGCCATTTCCTTAACACTGAAAACCACATGACAAGGCTGTTGAGGTGAAGCCTGATAAACATCAAACTGCTGATGTTGTTTTCAGCATTAAAATCACAATAGCTATGATGAATCTCTGCACTGTTTAAAGGCCCCTCATTTGAAACCGTGGCACATGCTCGTGCTTAACTGCTCTGACTATAGATTTGACCTCTGATATTTCATTTTAGCAGGCTAACTATTCTAGAAGATGTGTTTCATGGGACACAAGAAAAGGTGCTCATCAACAATAATCAACATTGGACATTAAGCAAATGTTTCAATGCCAGCTGAAGCACAATTACTGACTGTTCTGTTAATGTGTCTCTGCAGATAATGAAGTGACCTGGAGATATGACGGCTGTGAGACTGTTAAAATCCACGACACAGAGACAGAATGTTGCTGTAATCATCTCACATACTTTGCCATTCTTGTGGTGAGCAGCTTTACCAAGAAAATTTTTACTTGTAATATTTCTCACTGAGAGACAGACTTTATGAATTTATATTCGTATTATTATATTTATATAATATTTGGTAATATGCATAGCCTGTGGGACAGTGTGTTAACTGATTACACCATACAAATGTAATGATACTGTACACACACCTTGTCTCTTCTTCTTCATTGCTTCAGCATGTGGAACTGAAGGATACAGTTCGCCATCTACAGGCTCTGACAGTGGCGGTTCTACATTGAATTACACCCTGGCGAGAAAATATTAAGAATAATATACAAATAAAATATAGAATAAATATTCTGCTAAAGATAGTGTGTGGAATGTATTAGATAAAAATTTAATAGGAAGTGATAATTTTCCTATTTACTGTAAAATAGGATTAGAAGTATCAAAAACAGACATAGAAAGGGTTCCTAGATGGAAGATTAAAGCAGCAGATTGGAATGCATTTCAGTGTGAATGTGAACCAAGATTACAAAGTTTAAACAGTAATATAGATGATGTAGAGCAATATAATAATACAATTTGCGAAATTCTTTGTGAGGTTGCAGAAGATGTAATAGGTAAAAGTATAGGTAGGCAGAAAAAGAAAAATGTGCCATGGTGGACTGATGAGTGTAGTAAAGTAGTTAAAACAAGAAATAGGTTATTAAGGAGAGTTAAAAAGTCATATTCTTTTGATGACTTTATTGCATATAAGAGAGCACAGGCAGCGGTAAGGAAAGTTATCTGTGTAGCTAAAAGAAATCATTGAAGAGAATATTGTGATAGAATTGGTGAAAATGTAGACATCAGCGATGTATGGGGAATGATCAGAAAAATGGGAGGGATACATAATTTTAACAGTATACCAGTTTTAATAAGTGGAAATAAACAAGTTATCAGTAATAAAGAAAAGGCAGAGGTTTTGGCTGAGGCATTTGTAAAGGTGTATAGTAATGATAACATTTTAGAAGAAATGAGGGAAAAAAGAGAACAAAGATTAAGAGATAATTGTAAGGTCTGTTTTGGGTTTTGTCATATTCATGTTTTCATGTCTTTTATTTTGTAATTGTTTCATGCTGTTAGTGTCATGCTTCCCTTGCCCTCTTGTCTTCATGCTATTGGTTCCTCTGTTCATTGTGTCATGTTCTGATTGGTTGTCCAGGTCATGTGTCTTGTTACCCATTGGTTTGTTCATGTCATGTGACCCTCTTTGTTTGCTATAAGTAGCCATGTCGTTGCCTTTGTTCCTTGTCATGTATTGAATGTATTTATTCTGCTGTCGGTGAGTGTTTAAGTCATAGTCAAGTCAAGTCAAGTCTGTGTTAATTGTTTGGATTCTGGATCACTTTGTAAATAAAGCTGCACTTGGGTTCATCTTCAACTCGCCTTCAGTGGACTGATTGTTACAGAATACACGACCGCAAAAATGAACCCAGAAGATCGCCTAGTTCGCCTAAGTCAAGGTAATCGATCTGTTGAGGAATATGTGGCAGATTTTTGTGAACTGTGCTACCAGGTGGCTTTTAACAATACCTTTCTGAAAGACATTTTCCGTTTTGTTTTGGAAAGAAACATATCAATGGGTGACATGTCCGGTCACATATGCTGGCCATGCAAGAACTGGGATGTTGAATCGGTTGCATCAGTTTTCAGATCACCGGTACACTCAACCGAGAACCGTTTCTTTCGGACGCGTCCAATTTGAGAACCGATGAGCTGATGATACTGCGCATGCATGTAATTTTTCAAAAGGACGAAAAGCATGTTATCCAAGTATTTTGTAAATAGTATTTATTAAAGTCCGCATGAAATCAAAATTGACTTTATTTACTTTACTAGCGCACATTGCTAGTCTTGATGTAAACAATTAATCCGTGCAAGTTAATCCGCTGAAAAAAATTCAGTAATCTTCGTAATCTTTAATCAAAATCTGAACATTTACTTCCGCTCTGGAATGGCATTCCTTTTCTGATGACGTCAGTTTGACGGCTTGGGCAGAATATCATTAAACACAGCCCTCCAACCATTAGATTGCTATGAGTGAGAGACAGAGAG